CAGCTGGATCCTCCTGAAGACTGTTGAGTAAAGGAATAAGCTCATTTGCATGGACAGGAAACTAAACCACGGAAACAGACAGGTGATGTCTCTTGCCCCTACCCCAGTCTCCTCTTGCAGGTCCCAGCTCCAGTGTGAGCCTCAGTGGCCTGAGCTTAGCAGCAGCGCCCCCTTGTGGCCTTTTTGCTGCCATCGTCTGGTCTGAGTCCTGGCTAGGGGTAGGGGGTGGGGAGTCAATAAGAAGAGGTGTTCAGGGCTCACTTCTCCCTGAGGCCAAGTCTGGTAGGAGGGAAAAAGGCAGGGACTCTGGGTTTGTTAAATCGACCAGTGATGTTGGATAAGTCCCTTCCACTGCCTCTCTGGAGCAGTTTGCACATCTGTAAAATGGGATTAAGTTAGAGCTGCAGGGGCTGTTCGGAGATGCTTTGTCTCAGGGGCTCAGCAAACCTTACTGACCACACACTACCCTCAACTTCATGGTGGTTCTCTGCCTCTGAGCACACTCTGACCAAGGTCCCCAAGATCAGGCTGACACCTATGCTGGGTCCCAAATTTCTGCTCAGATGTGGCCATGCTATGTGAGTCTCTCTCTCTCTCTCTCTCTCTCTCTCTCTCTCTCGCTCTCTCTCGCTCTCTCCCTCCCTCCCTCCCTCCCTCTCTCAGAACAGCAGCTTTAGAAAAGGCAGGCAGATAGAATGCATGGAATTATTTCAATCTTTTAGTATTTGTTGAGGTTTGTTTGTGCCCCAATATATGGCCAATTTGGAGAAAGTTCCATGGGGCACTGAATAAAAAGTATATTTTTTGGTGCTTGGGTGGAATATTTGGTAGATGTCTGTTAGGTCCATTTGATATATGGCATTGTATAATTCAGATATCTCTCTGTTAATTCTATGTCCTGTTGACTTATCTAATGGAGACAACGGGGTATTAAATTTCCCTACTATTAATGAGTTAGGATTAATCTGGGTCTTAAAGTCCTGTAGTATTGTTTTTATGAAGTTGGGTGCACCAGAGTTTGGTGAATATATGTTCATGATTGTAGTATCTTCTTGGTCTATTGTTCCTTTGATCAGAATGAAGTGGCCCTCTTTATCTCCTCTGATTAGTTTTAGTTTAGTCTATTTTGTCAGACATTAGACTTGCAATGCCTGCTTTTTTCTTAGTACCATTTGGTTGCTATATTTTTTCCATCCTTTCACCTTAAGGTAGTGCCTGTCCTTGAAAGTGAGATGGGTTTCTTGCAGACAACAAAAATGAAAAGGCAGGCAGAGCAAACTTTTCCACAGGTGGGTAGGAGGGGCCATGAACAAGCAGAGAGAGTGGCGAGCTCCAGGAAAGCCAGGCCTGGTCCAGCATAGGAAGGTTAAGGTCATAGGGTCTCAGCCTGCGCCAGGCCCACACTTTTTTATTTATTATTTTTGTGTCTCCTACATGTATGTATGTGCACCCATGTTATGCAGTGCTCATGGAGATCCAGAAGAGGGGATCGGATTCACCTGGAACTGCAGTTATGGACGGCTGTTAGCCACCATGTGGGTGCTGGGACTCAAACCCAGGTCCTCTGCAAGAGCAGCCAGTGCTCTTAACTGCTGAGCCATCTCTCTAGTCCCTCAAGTCCACTTTTAACCTCTGATGGTGGTGGTGGGAGGATCTCATCCTGCTAGTCAGACATTGCCCTGTCATTGATGTTTTTATTTCATCTGCCCTGACTCCTCCCTCCAAGAGTCTCCATGTCCCCTCCCTTTCTCCTTCATCAAGGCTGCATCCTGCACTGTGTTCCTTAGATGCCATCTCATGTCCTCCCAGACCTGTAGGTGGCTACAACACCCCCTAGTAATGATTCCAAATCCCAACTTTTCTAACTCTGCCAGTCTTCAGTAACTCTTGAATATTCCTTAATGATCTCTTCTCCCTTAGTCCCCTGCCCCTGGCAACTCCCAATTGCTCCCTCCCTCACTGATGGCTTAATTATTGGACTGTCTCCAAGGAACCACTCATGTCTCTTTTCAGGTCCCTAGGGGGACCCCAGTGGTATCTCCACCTGCAATGCCTCTTGGCAGCTCCCAATACCCCTATTCCTTCCAGTGAATTCCAGTGGCCTTTCATCATTTGAGCGAATACAGAGGCTTTCAGAGATGCATGGTATCACCAGATGTTTCAAGGCCTCTGAAGACTTTCAAACTTTCCTGTCTACCATCTTTATTTCAGTGTGGTCTTGGGTAATCCACAGGAGCTGGTGGCTATTGAAGTCCTCAGGGGCTCCCAAAGGTGGTGTGATTGATAATTTTAAGTGTGAACTTGACTGGGCCAAGGGGTGCCCAGGGAGCTGGTGAAACACTACCTCTGGCCTGTGGGTGTCTGTGAGGGTGGTTTAGAAGGAGTGAATTGGCAGACTAGGTAAAACAGATAGCCCTCCCCAGGGGTGCTGACTCTCTTCCCCCTTCAGAAGGCCTGGAGGGAAGAGCAAGGTGGAGGTGTAGACTTGCTTGTTTTCTGCTTGGATGGGGTGGACATCTTTGTTTCATACATTCCCACCGAAGCTGGAGCTTTACCAGCAGCTTCCCTGGGTCTCCAACTTACAGATGGCAGACCTGGGACCCCTAGAATCTTCCTGTATATCTCTATCCTATGTTTCTGACCCTGGAGAGCCCCCGTGTGTCTTGGATGCAGCTCACAGCCTTTGTGTCTGACACCCCAAGGCTGCACACAGCCCTTCCTCTGTCTGGCTCTGAGACCTTGGGTCCTGCCTGTCTCTAAGGTGCTCTCCTCAGGAAAATGAGAGCCTGTGGGTGGCATAGGACACAACAACTAACATGAAGGGCCCAAGATGGTTCCTAGCACTCATCTGGTCTCATTCTCATGGCAAGCTGGATACCTGATCATCAAAGCCCCTGCCCCGTGGGTCAGGTACTATCTCTGATGAGGTGATGTCACCAAGCCCTTTACTCTGCCAGAAATGCTAGGGAGAGCCAGTCCCAGCCTCATATAAGCCATAACGATAGCCCAGCCACAGGACCCTGGCATCTTCCTGAGCCCCCTACTGCTTGGGCTGTTCCCCAGTCTGGACAAAATTGTCCCCCTGTACCCTCAAGTGTAGCAAGGCCAATGTTCTTGGGTGAGCAGCTGGGTACCTGGGCTCTACTGGTCCCAGGAAACCTTGATCTAACCCCATCTCTACCCTCCACGAGGTACACAAGCTGTTCCTTTGGCCAAATTGTTCAGTGTCTTCTGTCTCCTCACGTAGACAGTGGAGTCAATCACTGACCTTAGACCTGTGAGGAGGCTCTGATGGATGGTTTTCAGTGACCAGCTCTTATACCTTCCCTGGGCACCCTCTGGGAACTCAGTCCTCAGCACACTGTCCTGTGGTTCCTCAGCGTGCTTAGGACACTGCAGTCAGCCTGGGTGCTGGATGCTCCCAGAGGTTGCTTGAGTTGCTCCTTCCATTGTCCCCCCAGAGTAGACCTTGCTCAATAGGGTGACTGAGAAGTTGCCAAAGTTGGCCTCAGAGACTGGCCTCCTGCTGAGTCATGAGAGGCTGAGTTGTCAGTTGCTCACTGACAGCCCTGGCTGGTGCAGGGAGTTGACTGTGAGAAGGGCTACTTGGGAAAGCTGGGGGAATCAGGCCAGCTGCCTGTCCTCTCAGGGTTGCGTCCTTTCACCATTCTACAGATGCCTGAGCTGAGGCCCAGGGCCATGAGCAGACTTGCTTAGTGTCACACTGCACAGAACTTCTGGAGATATCTTGGGCCAGAAATGCAGAGCAGCCTCTCCACAAGGAGTCCCATCAAGAAGGCCGTGAATGCCTCTCCTTTGACTAAGAGTGGGGACATTTAAGAAAAAAGGTCTGTCTCACCTCACCCCCCAGTCCTAGGTCCAGGAATGCAGCCCGGTACATGCTCAGAAACGGCCTGCTGAGTGTGAGGAAGGATCTGCTGTTACTAGGCTTGTAGCTCTCCAGAGCGTCTGCTCTTTGGTGCTTGGTCCCCTCCACCATCCCACAGGAAACCTCTTGGGACTGATATGGTCTGTCCTTGGCTTCACTCCAGAGATCCCCTTACCCAACTGGTTATTTACAGTCTAACAGAGCTAGGCTGCAGAGCCACCCTTGGCAGCAGAGGTCACTAGCACACACTGCTGCCTGCTAGTATAACTAGGTAAATTAATTCCTTAGGTTACCAATCCTGCAGGTTTAAAGATCTGCTGACCAAGTTTCTATTTCAGTGACCGTCTCTTCTTTTCTTGCTGCTGACACCTGATTGACACAGTACATACTCAGACAAGGGAGGGGAATGGCAGGAGACAGGTTCTGCTGTTTATAAGCTGTGCGACTGGGAGCAAATTGCTTGATTTCTCTGTGCTTCAATTTCTCCTATCTGTAAAGTGTGCAAATGGTTGTGAGAACTGAAGAGAGAACTCTGAATAACATTTAGCTCACAGGATACATCGGTGAAACAGCTGGTATGTACTATAATGTAGAAACTAAATGGTAAAGGTGTAAAAGGAAGTGGGGTCCAAAACTACTGCTGCCCATGTTCTCTGGTCTGTAGTGTTGATTGGAGATCATAACTTCTAGATACAGACCCAGGATGCTTACCATGCAGACCATGGGGTACCCAAATATGGGAAACTCAGTCCAGTGAGGGTTGCTGCCTGTTAGGAACAGCTTTGTGGGGGCAGGTTTGAATCTTTACATGTTATTTATTTTATGAGTGTTTTGTCTTCAGGTAGTTAAGTGCACCACATGCATGCAATGTCCACGGAGGCCAGCAGAGGGTGTCAGATCCCCTGGAACTGGAGTTACAAGTGGTTGTTAACCACCATATGGCTGCTGGGAATCAAACCCAGGTCCTCTGCAAAAGCAGCCAGTGCTCTTAACCACTGAGCCATCTCTTCAGTTCCATGAATCTTTAACTTTAAAAAAGGATAAGTGGGTAATTTTGTGTCCCTTGGGTCATGAATGAAAACATTGGTTATGCAAAACAGTACAAGCTTTTTCATTTTTTAATAATATCGTAAATATCTCAGAAAGGATGTATCATTTCTAATGAATATCAAAAAATGTTGCCACAATGACACATTCCCCTGCCCATACTTGTCCTCCCCTGCCCCTACAGTTATCCAAATACTAGTAGGAAATTATAAAAGACACCCCCAAACCACAAGCCTCCCTTCACCCTGTCCCATGAGTAGTGTTAAGAGTCAATCGTTAAGGGCCACATATACAACACGTGCATTTGTGATGACAGACCTTGGGGATCTGTCCATCCATCTGTCCATGAGGGAGTTGGTGGTGAGGACCAGTAGCAGCAATGGGCAGCCTCCCTCCCTGGGGTGCTGGAGGGGGGCAACAGGTGATGAATAACCCTGCAGGTCATCTTCAGGGTGATGCTGGCCTTCTGAGAGGATCATGTGGCCTGTGAGCAGCTGGGGGCCTGGGCTGTGTGCACAGAGGGGTCTGAACAAGTGCCCAATTTTCCAGAGGGTGATGAGCATCTGGCTTAGGCAAGCCAGGCTTTGGAGGGAAGGGAGCAGGCTGGACAGGGCAGAACAGCTAGGAGTCTGGAAACTCTGGGTGAATAGAGCACACAGGTCTCTGATAGGACCCTGGAGCCTTAGTGTGGAGAGATCTCACCTCTCCACCAGACAAAACTGAGAAACTAAAAGAAAAGGGAAAGACCACTCCTTCCCCGACTTCCCACCCACCCACAGTATCTGGGCAGACAAAGCAGTGGGGAAACCCAGCAGATGAGGTCAGTCCAAGAAGTTTGAGGGCAGGCAGGGGGTTGTAGAGCCATCCTCCCCCTGGGGGCTGCATTTGTTCTGCATCTCCACATACAGGGAAGAACCCATGGATGGATGGCCAGCTCTTCCCTCTGGTGGGCAGGAGCGCAGGCTCCCCAGGGCCTGGTGACAGGTGGGTAGGGCCTTCTCACTGAATCTGCAGGCACAGGCAGGAGGGGAGGGAAGTGGAAGGTGCCAGCAAGAGAGAGAAGGTGGCATAGGGTAGGGGACATGGGTGGCATCCAGCTTCAGGCTTCACTGTAGCTCCCCTTCAGCGGCTGCCATAGGTTCTCAGCCAGAGGGCCCAGCCAGGCAGCTGCAAGAAGTGATGGCTACCTCCTGACGAGAGGGACAGAACCAATGGCCAGGAGGGCTGGACGGATGGTGGCAGCTCCTGCCAGAGGGGTTGGGGATGGGCTGGTCTCCAGGGATCAGGGATGAGCTAAAATTAGAGTTCTGGGGGAACACAATCATTTCATGATAGATTTGATTTAAAATAAGCAAGTGGGGACAGGGTGCAGCAGGAAGGGGGACAGAGAGGAGACCAGCACTTCTCTGGAGAGAGTAAAAGTCAAAGGCAGGCGGCAAGGCAAAGAGGCAGGTGGAGAACTGTCCTCCCTATAAGGGAAGGACTCCACTCCATCCCCTCCACCAATGTGAGATGTGGGGAAAACTGAGATCTGGGGAGGGAAGGGAGTGGCCACAGTCACTGAGAGGGACAATCTTTGACTCCTGGAAGCTGGGGAATATTTTCAACCCTAACATGGACAAAGGTCATATCGCTGGAAAAAAGAAGACCTAGGAGAAAAAACTGTTCCTGGGGCATGGAGGAGAGTGACTGGGGAAGGCCATAGACAAAGAACAGATTGAAAGGCTGTCAGAAGGGGATGGGTGCCACTCCTCCACTCTGCTCCATCTGCACACAGCCCATGTATAAAAGTTTACAGTATGATACAGAATTGCTAGAAAACATGGGTTAAGCCACCGTAGGCTGGGATCTGCTAGTCACTGTACAGAGTTATCTTGGTCAGGTCATGGAGGTGAGGCCAGGGTACAGGGTGCACAGTGGCTGGCTGGGAATTAACTTGTTAATAGGTCCTGTGCAGAAGAGCGAGCCCCTAACATTAGGCAAAGTACAAATTTCAGGGATTCATTTACACATGGGGCAAGGGCGGGAGAAACATCTGAGTGTTTGGTGGGAGCTCAGAAGTGAGTCTCCTTCTCTGTGATGGCCGAAATGGTGCCGTCGCCCTTGACTTTGGCCTCACAGTCATTAACGGTCACCGTCCGTGGGCCTGCCCCAAGCTTGCCCCGCATTTTCAGATCAGCACTGGATAGTGTCAACTTCTGTAATTTCTAGATGGTTGGAGAGGAGAAGGTTGTGTGAGCATGGCTTCTGGGGCCTCGAGTCCACCCACCTCCAATTTCCCCAACTGTGCTTAATAGCTGGTGCAGTGGAGTCATCAGAGCATTGCCTCCTTGGGGCTCAGTTTCCACTACTGGAAATGGGGATGGGGGAGGTCCCCACTCCTGGCATTACATGGAGTAAGTAAAGAGATGGAGGTGCTTAGTTCCTACAACTGCGACTTGACTCTGGAAGGTGACCAGGACTGAAGAGCCAGAAGCAGGGCCCCATCATCTAATTCCATCCCTGGGGATGGAGGGAGTTAGGCTTTGAAGTGCTGTTCCCTCAGCCACTGACTGACCTCTATCTCTGTGGAATGGGATGACAGGCCCTGTCTAGAGGGTAAGAAACTTCCGGGACTGCTGAGGTTAGGATTGCTGGATGAATGGGGACCTACCCTACCTCAGGGATGCCAGCACACTGCTGCTGCAGTGTAGGGGAAGGGACACAAGCCTATACCCTGCTCTTCCACTCATGCTTGTAGGCAGACATGCCTCTAATCTGGCTGCACATGTGCAGCCTCAGTCTCTCAGAATGTATCTTGCCCATGGGCCTCATTCAGCACCAACTGCACTGCCCTATCTTTTGGGCCAGGACTCTGAGCACAGACTCTTTCCTAAAAAGAGCTACAAGGGCTTTGAGGTGGCTTGCTACTCCAGGACAAGGTTGGGTCTCCTCTTTCAGGTGGAATCCACAGTGTCTGGGTAGGATTAGCACTCAGACTCACAGGGGCTGATTAACTGGATGCCTTCTGAGTGCCAGACCCCACACCAGACTCTTGACCTGAACCAAGGTTTAAAGCAAGAGGCTCTGGAGCCAGGCATATGATTTGTATCCTGGCTCCACTACCTACACACACAAGACATGTACTTGCTCTGCCTCAGTTTCCTCATCTGCTACTCAGCATTATTGTGAATCTTGGATCAATGGACCATCCACAGTTAAAATATATCGTTCATCTGAGCTGATCTCCTAGGTGGGTCCCTGTATCCCCACTTCCCTCTGGATCCCTCCTGTCTCAGGCAGAGAGCTCAGGGCGGGGAGAACTAGAGGCTGGGCCTGACCAGCCCAAAGAACTCAGTCTGTAACAAAAGCTCCACCTTCTGGGTGGGCAAGGTGTGAACTAGAGGAACTGGAGGGCTTCTAGAAAGTGCTTCTGAACACCAAAGGCCATCTGGAGTGCTGACAAGGGTGTCCCCAAGCTGAGGTTTTAAAGCCCAGGTCCGCTCCCCTCTGGACAGTTTGGTCTCAGATCAGAACTAACCAACTGCCCTTAACCAACACTCCCTGTAAGTGAGCAAAGGGACTGTCCCTACTCCGTCTGCCTCTGGCTGGAGCCCAGGCTACCATGAGCAGGTGGCTGGGGAAGCATCTCAGATGGCATTTGTGTCTTGGCTTGTGTATGTACACCTCGTACTTCTGACTCCCTGTGGCCTTGGCCTAGGAGACAAAAGTGACTCTCCATAGGTCCTTAGGCAGAGAAAGGCCCTGCAGTGGAGAGCTGGACCCTCGGCAAAATCCCATGGAAGAGGCCAGACTCCAGGCTGGCTTCCACTGCTCAGCTCCAAGGCTGTGCCCCCCGCACCACCACCAAGCAGGCCACTTCCCTTCCCTGTCTCCTCATCTTAGAGAACACTTAAGCACTTCCGCCCTGCAGGGATGCTGAGGGTTAGCTGATAGTGTCTTCAAGCTTCTTCAAACATACTAGGACAGTGTGCAGTGCCCAGCAAACCTTCTGCTGTCTGCTAAACCAGCAGAGAGAGTCTTGGACTATCTGACCAGGGGAAGGACAGCAGGAGGACAGAGGACTCAGCAGTGAGCCAGGCATGGTTATCAGTGATTCTATTACAGAAAATGCCCGTAAAGCACAAATCCATGGAGGCAGGAAGCAGATGAATACTGTCAGGCTGAGAAGAGTGGTAACCATGAACACGCGTGTGGGGGTCTTATGGACAGAGATGAACTCTTCAAAGTTGGTTTATGGGGACGACTGTATTAGAGGGCACATTACTAAAATGTTATTTTATTGTACATTTTATAATGACTAAACCGTTTGTGATGGTTAGTATTGACATCTTGACAGAATGTGGAATTACCTGGGAGATGGGCCTCTAGGCATGCCTGTGGGGGACCATCTTGATTGTATTAATTGAAGCGGGAAGATCTGCCCCACTCTAGGTGGTGCCATTCCCTAGGGATCCTAGACTAGCACATGGAGAAAGGGAGCTGAGCAGCAGCATCCATTGCTCTCTGCTTCCTGATTATACACGTAATGTGACCAACCAGCTGCCTCAAGCTGCTGCCACCTTGACCTCCCTGCCATGATGGACTGTATCCTTCCCTTTTGCTCTTAGGTTGCTTTTGTCAGAGTATTTTATCACAACAATGGGGAAATAAACTAAGACACTAAAAAAAATAAAACTGACCTAACTGTTGGCTGTGTGATCTTAGGTGAGTGGCTTCATCTTTCTGAGTCTGTCTCTGTTAGAACACCTC